AGTTAGCCGTGTCCTGACTAAGATCAGCCCAGAGGTCGTTTCAGGGTTCAATCTGTGAGTCAGCCATGCCTTGACTTTGGTTGACCAAGAGGTTGTTTTAGGATATCAATAAAATGAGACAAAGGAAGGGAATCACTTTGAAAGTTCAAACCAAAATAACACTTACCATTTGTAAAAACAATCTCATCTTCTGAATCACTGACCACAGCAGTGGCTGGGGTTTCATATCCAGGCTTCCTGGAGTAAGAACTTCTCCTGGATCCATCAGAATAGTCATCGTTACTTTCAAAGCTACCTTTTCTGATAAACCCAATACCAAATGGTACATTAAGGGGGCTTCCAGCACCACTACTACTGCTCACATCTAGAAAGTACATTAATAAAATGTGTGAGCAAAACAAAACACTGGGCTCGGTTTCGTATGTGAGTAGAGTTTCTAGTTTGTTCACTCCTGTGCTTGGAGGGTTTTTCTCTGGGTTCTCAGTTTTTCCTCGCTCCGCAAAAATCAACTTATAAATTCAAATTTGATCATGAAACAAGGGCCACAGGTTTGTCAGCAACTAGTGCTTCCCTTGTAAAAAAAGGACAGTTTTTTTCTTGTTAAATTCACCAAAGATTGGGGCTTTGAAAACCAGTAATAGATACAATAGTTTGAAAAGAGATTGAACTTGATTCTTTTATTGAACTTGATTCTTTTATTCATCAAGTTCAACCTCAACTTGAAACCATTGTTTCATGACCAGTCAAGCGAATTTGGGATAGGTCTATTGAAGGGTTTGGTCAGATAGTGTGATGGCCTCATGCGCAGGAACATTTTATGGTTAACTTAAAACACAATAACTTATGGTTAGATCCACATGTTAGATTTTACACAGCATTTACCTATACCATCAATATCATTACTATGTCCCTGTCTCGCGTTTTGCATTTGGTTTTAAGACATCAAAGAAGCTGCATTCGTTATGTTTGATGCCATCAATTTCATTACTATGTCCCTGTCTCACGTTTTGCATTTGGTTTTCAGACATCAAAGAAGCTGCATTCGGTATGTTTGATACTTATGATTGATGAAAGAAGCTTAGAAGCATAGCAGCTTAGAAGTCTAGACTTGTGTCTGGTGAAGAGGTGTAACTATGAAATCAGTGGTAAATGAGTGATACCTGTTAAATTTGCTCTTTTCCGTTTGTTATTTTGCTCTTTGGTGTTTTCAAGTGATATTATTCCTAAAACAAAACAAATTTTTTAAACAATTAGCTGTTTCATTTTTTCAAGTAGCCAAAAACTAATTACTGATAGAAGAATATAGATTATCAAATCATCTCTAAAATATCACTGGTATAACATATTACCTAGTTCTCCATCTGAAGTATCACTCACTGATTCTAGATTATGATGTAGCAATTCACTGGAAAGAAAAGACATTTTTGCAAACATCAATCAAAGCGTTTCCACTTTCAACAAATGCAAAGCTTTCATGAACATGTGCCTGTGAAATGTCATGGCTGTGCCTTAATTGACGTTCATATGTAAACATTTACTTATACATGTAATTGTAAAGGTAAGTTGTACAATCCTGTGGATGTTATTTAGAACAAGATGCTCTTGGAGCGTGCACTGGGTTGCCTAATGTGCGAGTATGCTGGAGCTCATTTAACACCTAATCTTTTTTATGTACTGCTATTTGGGAGGAGGGGGTACTTTGGAACATTTTAGGTGTATATATTTTTAAACCTTCCATTAACTAACTAACTAACCTTGGGTTACTAATACCACTAAGTTTTAATATACTCTCATACTTGAATTACACAAGAATCTTGAACTGACTTTSACCTGACTAAGACTCATCACGACTGATGACATAAATATATTTATTTCAGGAACTCTAAATTCATTAAGAAAATGTGTTTAAATGGGKTTTTTTCCCGCTAAGTGTTTTGAAGTTCTTGATCTCTCCATTATGGAATATATTCTTCAAATATAGTTTTTTTAAATATCCAAACCAGTGAAGTGGAATGAAACTCAGTTAATAAAAGGATTCAAAACTTAACGAAAAGTAAGGCCAAAGATACCAGCTCTATTACCGCATAGTATGTAACGATATATTCATGTCATGCCTTAACTAAAAACTAAAAGCTGTATTTTCATTTAGGCTCTACTAATCCAAGCACTTGAAGCCAGAATACTGCCAACTGAGTAGCTGTATCAATAAAAATAAATATCTGAATCACGATCCTAGAAATCTTCTTTTACTGCTCAATTGTATTACTTCTAAAGCCCAGAATTACATCTTCAGCTGCTAAGCCAATCTATGAGCCCAGAATCTACGAACACGTCATTCAAATCCAAATATGGGTACTCTTGCATAAGAATGCACATTTCGAGAAAAGGAGACTAAAAAAAAACTAAAGGTATTTTATGATTGTGCTGCCACAGGCAACCCAGTAATAACTGTTACTGTATATACGTATATAAGATAGGGTTGGTGAAAACTAGTCACAGTACTGTCAACTCCTGAATGAATAGGAAAATACTGAAAGTTTGAAGAAAATAAAATAAAATAAAATAATTACAATAAAGAGCTTACCAAACATTCTCTGTGAAAAATTCCTTGCATCCAAAAACCTTTTCTAAAATGTCATCATCCTCGCATTTGATTTTCATTGGGTTGTTAGGGTCAACAAGCTTTTTATCATTGATATATTCCTTCAAATGTTCTATTACCTATAGATAAAGACAAACTAAGATTACGAGCAATCATTTCAAGGTAGTGTGAATTTCTCGCTCTGGATATATTTTCTTTAAAATGTCACTGGATTCAGACTCCAAATTTCAAAGGCTTGACTGCAAAGCTAAGACTACGATTTGATTGTCTTCAAGATCAGGTTATTCAATACTGATAGCTTTGCGGTTAAGGGCTGAAATTCGGAGTCAGAACCTGTGACATTTTAGAGAAAGTCTTTTGATTGATGTCCAACCAAAACTCAATTTTTTGTTAGTTTGAAGGTCAAGTTGGTCGCGTGTGACTGGGAATCACAGTCATGCAATCCCTGGGAGGGAATATCATGAATTTCTAAAAAATATCCTTACTTAACCAACCAAGAGGGTTCAGAATTACTACATTCTAAATGGGCATACTTTCTCAATCATAATTATAAAAAGTTATCATAATTTTGAAATGGCATGGATGTTTTCTTGAACTGCAAAATGACTTGCGCAAGTATTGTTAACGATATAAAGACATGCACCTTATAAGTACTTATGCATTATAAAAAGACAAAACCATTTTCAAATATTGACAACCATTTTTGATGTGCATGTGTTTGCTATGGAAATTTTTATCACATGAATTAGTCAGATTAAAAAAAACCTAAAAAAACTGGGTTGTTGTTCTGGAGAAGTAGGAAATTAGTCTTTAATATAAAATATTTCATATAAAATAAAATACATCCTGCTACTTGATGCTTGTTCTGACATGAAGCACATGTATTTGAATATTTGATAGTTATCTTAAGTGTTGCGAGAATTATCGTCACCACCTAATGGCTGAGCTCTAGTCATTTTAGAATCATGTTATAACAGATCTCTCTTTTGCACAAGCAAGTTTTCAAACATGCATGACTTGCATTGTAATGTCAACAGGGACTTGTACTTCATGTTCAGTGACCTATTACATTTGAAGTAGATTAAAAACATTAATCCATAGCTTTAGTAAGGTTATTGAGGGATAAACGGCAATAGTAATACATGATATTAAATGCAAAGAGATATATGATGAATTTATCCACATGACCTTAAAGGGGAATAAAACACTATGAAGAGACCTGTACTCAAGTGATGTTAGTCTGGGTATCGCAAAAATGAATGTCAAAATAAATGATACTAGACAAGTAGTCCTCATAGTCTGAATAAACATGATAACTGCAAAATAACATGAGTTAAAAATACAAATATATTGGAATAAAAATATAAACTAATGCAGACTCAATATCTTAGTTCAGAAATTTAATTCATAGAAATATCTTGAAATATCAGCTAAGTACAAAATTATGCATTTTCAACAAATTATAATCTTTTTTGGGACTGGAGTCAATATCTGTAGTAACGAGGTTTTTGGTCTGTTCATGCAACAGATAAATTAATTTCCAGGATACTGGTATTGGATATAATGTAAATAGCAATGTGTGGCATATATAATACCAAACTAATTTTTGCCTAATGTACATATATATTCATGGCATCAATTGGTTATCTTTAATCTCTGTAAAGATCTACGAAAATTTGAAAATATTTTTCACAAAATAATTTTGTATGGAATAAAGATTATGACTGACATTACGAAGGGTAAGAATATAATGATAAGATATGCAACTGGAATAACATTTGCATCGAGATATGCAAGCAAAAACAAACCACTCCCTAATAGTATGGAAGAGTAAAGCCAAGGCCATTAAAGGCTATTCACAGTGCTTGACTAATATTCTGTGGGATATCAAAATAAGTAGGCAATATGCCTGGGCGTGCAAGCATACAAGTCTAAACATGCTCAGATTTAGACAGTCATGTTTGAACTCTTCTGATCACCTGAATCAACCTATCACAGCCTCTTCCTTGTACAAAAACCCTTTCTAAGCAACATTTGATGTATCTTACACAACGATTTACAACTAAAATATTCACAAATAGAAGTGCCTTAAATACGTTCTTACTCCAACAAAAAAGATTAGCTTACTCAAGCGTAGAGAACTTCAATCACCGAACGATTTTGATCATGAAAAACTCAGCCACTATGGAAGAATTCAAGATCAGGCTTGGGTCAAAACGATCTCAAACTCTAAATGAATATTTTCGTACTTTTTTGCATATTTGACGAAAAGAATTAAACCTTTTTTCATGACTATTTTGCTTTGATTCATGATAATTTAATAGAATAGGCAATAACATGGTTGAGTTATCATGATATCGAACGATGTAGAGGGTTCTTGGATGTCTTTTTTTGTAATCTTACAAAACAAATTGTAGAATCTTTTGTCGTAATATGATAGAGGCGTCGAGAGATAGGCCATGTTGGAGGGACTGAAATTCGAATCTGTTTTGCAGCACTCGTGGGAAAATGACCTCTAATGTTGTTTGAAAAAACTAACAATGGACACAGTAGCTTGGGGGTGATAAGACAGCGTAAGAGCCATAAACAATGAAAAGAAAATATAGAAAAAGAAAACAGCAATCTTGCAGTTCAACTGGTTGACACATGCAAGTAGAATCGAAAGGGAATCGAAGCTAACAGGAACTTAATGTCAATATTAAATTAAAAGAAAGAAAAAATGTATTAAAAAACAAATAATCGTTAATAATAGATCTTTCTTCTTTTTTTTCTTTAAACAAGATATGACAGAAAGATATTTTTAAGTTAAGGGTTTTATAAGGTTTAATTTACCTCATATTTTGTGTAAACTGGGGCAGTTGCTCCGACTTTTTCTAACAAAACCTTTAACTCAGGACGAGGACGAACCTAGAAAACAATTTTGTTAATAAATATAAATAAAAATAACCTCATAAATAACCAGCAAACCAAATTTATTAACTTAACTAGACCCTTTTTAARATAAACAAAAAATATCTACTAAGTTAAATAGTTGACAACAGGCCTTTATTAGCAACCAGAGAAGTAAAAATAATTTCAAAAACAGCTATAGTTCAAGAAGTATTTGAAAAAGCGCAGTATTGAGCTGAGGTTAGCATTTTGGAGCTGGTTTGAAAGGTTCAACCGGCGTTGCTGTAATATTATCGGTTGTTATACAGCCATCTTGGTAATTTTATCTCATTGAGATTTAACTTCGCGTCCTTGTGAACTGTCTTTACACTTACCAGACCAGTTGCGTATCTCTTTGGTTTTTCAACGATATTGCAAGCCCCTTCTTTGAATTCCATATTCCTTCTTGCCCATATTCAACCCTGACTTTGGCACATGTTTCTAGCCCTTCACCGTTCCTCTGGTTTTCCCTAAAAACAACAAGAACCGCAAGTCAGCCATAGTATTGAGTTCAAAACAATAAGGAGAAAATAACTCATGATCAACTAACATGTCAAAAAAAATCACCTTTAATACAAATTCAAATTCTTTATTTCTTAACCTTAGGCCTCAAAATTTATGCAAATATACTTATTTTAATATGAGAATAATTATTAGGGCAAATCATTGGAAATAAGTAGAATAAATAAATAAAATTTGTGATGGATAGAAAGATAAATTCTCTTTAGTTAGTACAGCTTTCATTCAGACTTGTCCGTACACGTTCAGAGATCACGAAAGGCTGCTTCTGATTGGCTGTTTTCCACCTGGTACATGTCAAGAATGTTTGAGAAGGTTACGTTATTTCCCGCGCATTTTGCTGAATTAGCAGGACCTCATGCAGTCAATGAACCCCTCTTGTGTGCATAAAGATTGACCTTAAAATATCAAAATATTCCCGCCAATATATACTGTACCCCTCAATTCTAGACCTATCCACTTTTTAAATAATAGTATATCCTATTATGTATTTTTTAAGTCAAAAGTTTTAAAATCTATATCTTGAGCGTGTATAGCTACACAAATATGTGTAACATAATGGGTTTGGGTTGACTTATGTAAGCCCAAGTAATCCGATAGCTCTATTGAAAAAGACTGTTTACTATCAAAGAAAATAAGATGGGGTCGGTAACCTCAAGGATAGTATTTCAACAGGCTCTTGTCTTGGCACATGTGTTGATTAGAGAAGTGTGTCTATGCACGTGGAAAGGTTATTCTTTTATTTAATCGCGTGGGCTACTGGTCACATTTCCAAAAGGTCAAATAAAAGCAATATATAAGAAAGATGTTTCTAAAGTCTGGCTTGAATGTGACGAGTCTCATCTCCGCGTTTTGGCTCAATCATATTAGAAGGGACTGAGGTGCCTTTTGTTACTCGCTAGCCTGCGTCTAGGCCCTAGGGGAGGGGGAGGGGGAGCCGAGCCACGCAGGCTAGCCTTGCCTAATTTCGCAGCCAACCTTTTCGTGCCTTTCAAGTCCTTATCTTTTTTGCATTATTATTTACTATTTAGTCAGTGTACTTATTATTTACGTCTAAACCTCTTTCTTTTGTTGTACAACATATTGAAAAATACAGACCAAAACTAGCTCTTCACATCGATCCCTTTTCAAAGAGTACAGTTCAGTCATGTCTCGCAGCTCGCAAGAGATCATTGCAAAATATTAGAGAAGCGTAGTACTTATTTTTGTGTGTGTTCAATATTAATTTCTCTTCCTTTTCCCTCCCTTTCTTCTTAGTATACGATGCCATTCCTCGCTTTAAAGCAAACTATTTCTTAAAAATAAAATACTGTGTTTTTCTAATCGATATTGCTTTCACTTTCGTCTCTTTTTCTCTTAGTTTGGATTTTCCTCTTTACAAAACAACCAAGGTCCAACTAACCTGGGAATCTCGGGCCTAAGGCCCAACCGACCAAACACTCAAAAAAGCCTTTTCTTGGCGGTTTTCCTGTGGTACATAATTACGTAAGAGACTGGATCTAAGTCGTAGAGTGAGAGTATCACAACAGAAGAGTAGTGAGAAAAACCAAGAAAACAGAGGGAAAATCACAGAGAAAAAAATAGAAAAGTATTTTTTTCTCTTCACAAAAGGTAAATTAATCTATATGAGTCAAGTTAAACTAATTTGAATGCATTTACTTTGGTCAAAAAAAAAAAAAAAACAATCCAGGAGAAAAGTGAAGTCAACGAAAATTCATAAATATTTCTATTTTTCTATTCGACCAATAAAAACTGTCAAATATTTTAGTACGGGTGATTTTTTTATTGATTGTTGTTTACTAACGTCGTTGTTTGAACTGATAACTTTTTACTTGTACTGGTTTAGATGCTTTCCAGGGTTTTATCGACAGCACCTCTGAGGTCCACCGTTAGCTGGAGTACCACCTGTCTTCCTGGTTTAACGTCACTAAAACCATTCAATCAAAGAACTTTGAAGTTATATAGACTTTCCAGACTCCACACTTCAGGTTTTGATGATGCTGGCAGAAGTATTTCAGCAGCCTACCAATCTCATAAAAAATTTGGTTTTACTATCAGAGAGAATGTCAAAGGGATAGATAAACCCAATCCTATTGTAGTAATTCTTGGGTGGAATAATTCTCAACACAAGTATCTAGCAAAATACAGTGAAATGTTTGAGAAGAGAGGATATGATACATTGTGTTCTACTGCAAATCCATTCAACACATTTTTTAGGAGTGGATCAAAGGTGAAGGAAATTGCACATCGAATCTTGGACGTGCTTCTTGAAATGAACTGTTCAAGTCGACCTGTTTTCCTTTATGCATTCAGTAATGGAGGCGGTGCAGTGTTTTTTCAACTGACAGAAGCTTTGTCAACTCCAGAGAGCAAGTACTTTGACAAGATTAAAGTAGCTGGGTCTATATTTGATAGCTTTCCAGTGGTTCCTGAAATGAAAAGTGTAAAAATAGTCCAAAAGACTATCACTGGATATATAGGAAACCCAATTGTAAGGTGGCTTGTGTGGTATGGTTTAGGAATATCTATACCTCTTATGATTCTCATAGACCCTAACATTAAGAGATACATGCATAGCATAACCAATTCACCAATTAATTGTGATCAACTTGTTTTGTTTTCTAAAACCGATCCGTTTGCACCTTCTGAAGATATTGAACATTTTATTAATGAAAGGAGAAAGAGGGGAGTTCATGTTGTAGCTAAATGTTGGGAAAAATCCCACCATGTCAATCATTATAGAGAACACCCTAATGAATATACAAGAATTGTTTATGACTTTATTGATAATTGTCTAAAGAAAATGTAAAGTACATTTTAGTTAAGTAACTTATAATTCCAACATTTTATTGACGTAAGACTGCAATAATTGTTCATTGCTAGTTCATGCCTCTTGTGATGCTGCCCCCAACAGGGCCTCAATATTTAAAAACATACTTAAACGAGCGACAGAATTTTACCCCTGGGTTTCCAAGGATGCATGTCATGTATCTTTTATTAGCTGATTGTTGCTAATAAACTTGCCCTTCATTGGGACATTAAACCACTTTGTCATGTGTCATTACTTTTTATCCAACATGGTTGTTTTTGACAGAACTGTCTCACAACAGTAGTTTCGAGTTGAGGTTATGGTGGACCTTCCAAGATCATTATTACAGATAAACTATTTTTCCTTTTATTTTCGGTGTTAATGACCAATCTCATATTGACCAATTAAAAGAAAGAGTACTTATGGATGAAAAAGTGAATGTACAAAAAATGAGTAGAACTGTCTCAAGATGTTTATATTATTTTTGATTAACTCCTCGTTAAGCATTTCATTAATCCCATTTTGACTTTCTTGGTGGAGCAGTAGAAGGAGAAGATTTCTTGTTATCTCCAGATGATATGCTCATGAAACCCAAGTACATCACACAACCAAAGAGAGCAGCTATTCCAAACGACATCACCGCTTTATTCTAAAACAATCATGCATTTTAAGCTGTATTTTTAGTAAATATCAATGAATTATAATATAATACAATTATTTCTTACCGGTTTGATGAACAGTTCTGGATTTATTAGCCTAAAAGCAAAGGTTGACTGTCTTGGACGAGGACCCTTCGGTTGTCCACTGTCTGCCATGTTGTTTCTTCACGGTCACCCTGTGGAACCAAAGGTAGCCCAATATGTTTTTTGCTCGAAGAATTCCACAGGAATCCCAAACATCAAAGAATAATCGCATGTCAGCAGGGACTTCCCAGGTTAAATAAATGTAGTTAAATATCGTGTTTGACGTAATTCTCTGGAACTAAGTTAAATATTTCCGTTTAATGACATGTTAATTTTGAATGAGACTACAAAATTCCCTCTCGCTTAAACGAGGCATTTTTCCCGTTCTGACTAATATGTGTTCTATGTTGCAAAATTAAAAAGACCAGAAAGAAAGAAAGAAAGAAAGAAAGAAAGAAAG